AGAGTTGTTGGAGGGGTTGCCTCATGAGAACAGCTGGGGTCCCAGATGGCAGGAAACCCGGTGTAAGGATATTTTTCTCCCTTTCCCATTATACTGTACCTGCAGCACATGTTTGTTGTCTTTAGTATGCAACACGGCAGAAACCGTTGCTAAGGAAATACCAGGCTTAATCTCCAAGGGCACGAGTGAATCTGCAAGCTAAAGCAAAAGAAGGATTTTGTTCAGCAAGTGATAATCTCAAAATTTGTATGAATCCAGCTGTGATTTAAATTGGCAGCGTGGTATTTTTAAACACGGACTAATGAACTGTAAACACAAACCCACTGCTACAATGACAGAGTGCTCCTGTTACCTGCTTAGCCCTCCTTCCAGCTCTTAAAGCTACTGACTTTCGTACTGTTACCAGAGCAGCGCGAGGTTTGCAGGAACCAAGGCAAGTCTCACAAAACATACCAATTGAAGAGAAACCCCGTTTAAGAAGACATCAATTACTTTATTAATAATTTTGATAACAAAACTCATAATGTAATTCGTCATTATTTAGTATGTTCGTTACGCTGATGGACTACGAAAAATCAAAGGCGGTTTCCTTTCCGTTCCTTAGTGCTGTGGCATTCTGGCTGCAGAATAGCTGGAAGAAAAGCATTTGTCCTTAAAAACCCAATGGCTCTGGTTGACTGGTTTGAAAGCTTTCCTTACAACACCGCATAGAAACCCTTACACTGCCTTTTATATAATTCTTCTCTGAAAGAAGTAAAATTTAGTCTTGGCTCCAACTTTGAATTCAATGGCAGCCTCCCAAGATCCTCAGCATTGAGGGTGTTGGCAGTGAACGTGGAGTGGGCAGTACCGCACCTGCTGAGACTTGCGGAAGTTGGCCAGCTGGGAAGCACCTCTTCCAACCATGTTTCCAAAGGAACACTGCAGAAAACAGTGCTCGTGAACACAGAAAATTATTCCTTTTCCCCTCCAATGGAGTTCTAGATGACAACACACTGGACACTGGGTGCTCTGGAGTCCTGTCCAGGACTGCAGCCAGGACCTAGTCCTGGATAAACAGGTACCTTCTCACCACACGGGCCAGCAGCCCAAGTGGTTTCCAAGTATCACTCCCAGCCAAGCACGCTCCTGTTACTCACTGTGGACCTGAAAGTGTGCTCTGTGTCTGTGGGGGAACCTTGCAGGCACCTCACAAAACAAAAATGGGTACGATTGCTCACGCGTTATACCACTGGATGGGAGGACTCTTCAGTTGTGAAGACAAGTAACACCTAAAGGGACAGAACCTACTTGGCTGTTTTTCCCAAGAGTTGTACCATCAACCCACTCAGACCATCGCCCCATCCCATGTAGAAAGAGTCTCTGTGAGATGATCTTCATCTGAACTCCATTCCCTTTCATCTTCAAACACATGGCACCCCCACTTGGAGCCAGATATTAAGAAGAGCTTAACCTCCAGGCAAAGGAGCTTTTTTGAAACTCCAGCCATCTACTGCAGTGCTTCCATGGAGCAGAGCTCTGGAGAACCGGCTATCATCATTGCCCTGCCAGCAAGGCAATGCCAGCTCTCTTTAGCTCGCCAAATGCTCCCATGCATGGAAAGCGGGAAGGGAAGCTGAATGCATTTTAGAAAAGTGTGGTATATTCCCATTTTGGAGACAGTGCACCTGAAGCAAAGGAAGATTAAATTCCTTCCCAAAGGCCATCTAGTGAATTTTCAACAGGATCCAAACCAGGAGAGGGACAGAGCAGAACAACTGAACCCTGCCACTTCTCAAGAAACTTCAGGTACCAATATTTTACTGCCAAATACTCCGGTCTGCTGTAAATGATGACGATGTAGGTTATCACTCTATTACTGCAAAGCTCTAATCCTTGTGAATACAGAAGCAACTGAACTTGACTTCAAAAAGCTCTCATTGCTGGCCTAATCCTTTTGCCATCAAAGCCCTGAGAAGGCTTTTCTGTTGGCTTCAATGGCAGCAGAGTTCAGTGACTTCTAATAACTTCTGAAAATCTTACCTACCACTATTAAAGCTGCAGGAACATTTTGAGAGCACCTCCTTCAAATAAAAGAGTTGGACAGATGCTTGTGTTGGAAAAACACAGACATTTTAAGGCTGAATTCGAATCCCCTAAAATTTTGCACCTATTCAGACTTGGTGAGTCTTAGAAATCAAAATTTCACAGAGCAGTTCAGATTGCTCTCTCTCTGGGGCTCTGTTCAAGATCTTTAAAGCAGGCATTTTGAACACAGCTTTACAGTTTGTTGTTGAAGGCTAAGAGAATGAAAATCTAATGATAATTATTGCTTCAGATTTCCCCTGGGACCCAAAAATAGTAACACTTGCAGCAGTGTGTTATGATGCACTTTGCAGTGGTTGAAGGCACTTTCCATTCCCACCACCTTCCAGAGGAGGATCGATACAAAATGGGCTCTAATGAAGAATACGTGGCAAAATGACAAACACTGTAAAGAGAAAGGTCTTTAAAAAACAGAGCTGCTTAGAATCTAAGTCCTCTTCTGCCACTGAAATACTTTGACATTAATATTTAAACAGGTTTTAACCACACAGTTGGTAAATAGCAACACTTCAATTATTAACAGTCAAAAAGACAGTAAGACAGACGTTCATTTTTATTTTCTCTACGATATTGCTTCATCTCACAGCCCTCTTCATGTTGCAGCCAATCCTTTTATTACAGAAGTTCACTGACCCAAACCAAAAAGGTCATTTAATCACATCCAGTAATTCACCCACCAAGACCAGACAGCACTGCTATACTCCTTTCGACTGAGCTCCTGCACACACAAATCACAGAACTCTTCCAAAATGCTGGATTAAAGAAATCCTTTTCAGAGAGATAGCAAATCTTGTCTATACTCCAAGCAATGGCAACTCCACCATTTCCTCTCGCAAGCTGTTCCAAACTTTAATTTTCCTTGCAGCTAGGAAACCGTGTCTTATTTCAAGGTTGAATTTGTCCAGCTTTCAGTTGCTGAATCTTGTCATGCCTTTGTGTGCAAGATTGAAAAGCCCCCCACTATGCAAGAATAAATGCTTCTTCCTTCCAGTCATTACCACAAGTCTAATGCCACATGCTGGCATCAGGAAAATCACGAAAGCAGAGACGCACGGCACTGAGCACTAACATCGCATTAATCAGTCCCCTGCCTATGGATGAGCACTTGGACTGCCTTAAGACAAACTTGTCTGCGTGTGTGTATGTGTACCGTGTCTTTCATTTTTTTAAAAGCCCCCCTGTTAAGGAAAAAATATACTACTATAAATAAAAATTGAGGCTGAATAATCAGCGAATAAAATCGGAGAGGACCAGAATTTTAGCACACGTGGTCTTGGTCCTATGGAGGATTTTCCCAGGGACAAATGTGCACGGACATCCGTCAGCCAGTATTTTAACATCCAAGTTGCAGCTATATTGGCAGTGGTGACTACCAGTGATTTCTTCCTAGGTTTCTGGGACACCTCTCCAAATTTCTCCCTTTTCCCTCTTCCTCTCCAAGTTTTATAAGTGCAATAGTTCTTGGCTTACACTAGAGAGGGTGCAGAAAGACTGACCCAGCAGGGAGAGCTGAAGTCTGAGTTGAGCAAGGTGAGCTGGATCTTCATCCTCCAGGACTGGAGCAAAGGGGAACTAGCAGGAGCACAGCAAAGCTCATCAGTAATTAAAATCCCCTTAACTTTTAAGATCTGAAATTCACTGATGCGTACACTAGATTATAGCATGTGTATTTAGAAAGGGACACAGCTGGGTTTTTATATCAACATTAAATGTGTATTTTCCAGACTTGCAAACTGTGCATAAATGTACGATCTCTGCATTAGAGGTAGGAGCCAGAGTTGCAACTCCGGATCAAACCAGAGAAATCAAAGACATGAAACAGGGCTGTGAAACCACTGGGCAGGGCAGACCCATTATGAATGAACTCAACACATTGCAAGTCCTTAGAAAAAACAAAGAAATAATAAGGTTGTAATATATTCCTTGGGGCAGGGATCAGTTTTGTTCAGTGCTTGTGCAATACCTAGCACTCCGAAATCCTACTAAGGGGTCCATTACTCATGCTACTATACTGCAGTAAAAAAGGAAATAGAAGGAAAACTTTAAAAAATCATCAAAAGTGGATCACATGCGACCAACACAACAGCTTTCTCTGATAAGACAACTGCTGAGGGAATTGGGGCAGCCACAGCCTGCGTTTCGTGAAGCACTAGCAAGGTACCACATGGGAAATTATAAACTGTGGATTTCTACAGCAGTCCTGAGGTGGGGAAAGTGCTGGTTAAAGCAAAGATATTCCCAGACAACTACTGGGCTGCTGCTGCAGTTCCTGAAGGGTCAGTCTTGAGCCTACTCCCATACAATTTTTATTAATGGCCTCAGTACAGAACGGAGAGAGTGTTCAGAAGGCCCCACTGAAGTCTGCAGAGGCACCCTTAATAGAAAGAAAGATCAGGCTATCATAGAGGAAGAACTAGATGACCTCAAGAACTGGAGTGAGAAAAACAAGATTAAATTCAATAGCACGAAATGCAAGGCCAGGGGCTGGCCTAATACCAAGAAATTCTGCTGTGAGCTGGCAGCTGCTGGAAATGACAGAGGTGAAGGGTGCCAGGTTTATTAGTCCATCCCATGAGAACTCAGAGTCACAAATGCGACAGGGCCATGAAAAAGCTAAATGCAACTCCCAGAAAATACCAGGTAATTCTAGCAGAGATGAGCTATTGCTATTATATTGGGCCCAGCAAGATCTCATCTGAACTACTTGTAAATTGTGGGTAATTTAAGTTCAAGTAAGATATACTGAAGGGCAGATTAGGGCGGGGGGGCTGTCTTGTAAGAGGAAACTAAATATCTTGGCTTGTTTAGCCTGGCAAGAAGAACGCCAAAAGGAGAATTTGATTATTCTACATAAACACCACAGGGAAAATACCAACAAAATGGAAAATCTATTTATGCTAAAACATCATGTTAAGAATAAGTATGTGCAGACCAGCCATGAATACGCGTGGGCTGGAAATTAGGATGTTTGTAGCCATCAGAGACAGTGGGGGTTTGAACAGCATTGTAGTGGGAACAGCAGGGGCAAAAGTCTTTACAATTTGAAGCATGTGCCTTACATTTTTTGAGGCACATTATAAACACTATTACTAACTGCAGCTGGGTTCTGGCCA